GAGTGGAGGCGCTCCGAAAGATCCCGGCACTCGCGTTTGAACTGTTCACGTGCACTGCGGACACGATTACTGGCGCGCACAATGTTACTTCGCGAAACTGTTACAATGATTGAGGCTCGCGGTTTAAGGATTTCACACGCGTGAGACTAATGAAACGAATCTTAACTTTGCTCGTTAAGATTATCGCGAACTCTCGAATTTGCACTATTTTTACTCTCCGTATGACGCTCCGATCACTATGATGGAAAACGGAAGACTCTCGGGGAGAAAGCCTTTCTCCCGATAGATAAAGATTTGATCACGGATCGTATGATCGGACCTCGACGTATCCCTGATCATTACGTCAGATCGCGTGATATATAAGCCTGTTTATTGGCCAGGACCGTGTATTATTTCGCGTGATCACGCGGATCCTGGATGATTTTTGAAAAACAGTAACGGCGTACGTGAACGCGGGTTCGATAGTGCGCAAACGGATGGCGCTAGTATGACCGGGGGTAATAATTTTATGCGCGATTCAGGGCGAATCCTTAACAAACTTAATTTATAAAATTCAAGATTTTATTTATATGAAAATTAGATGTCTATTTTACATTTCAAGTAGATATAAAAAACTAACGATTTTCTCTCACTCAGATATTTAATCTCTGAATTTTTATTTTCGGACGATTAATTCAAGATTTAGAATCCCTAGTATTGGAATTATATTAGAAATTGAACTGATAGAAAATATATTACATTTTTAATGTTATTGACTGTGCTTTGCGTACTTTATACATTCTCAAAAAAAATTTAAAAATAAAAGATGGCACATAATGTGATGATAGATAGCACATAATATATCACATAGTGAGAAACGAACAAATATTGTATTTTAAATCTCGAGAATTATATGCTTGTTTATCCTAAACGTATGATAAATTTTATATTTTTAATATTTTACTGACAAGTTATGAATAAAAAGTTTCAGTACTTGAAGAAATATGGACAATAATGAATAAAAATTATTACATTTGTGTTGATATTTGCCGTCATGTTGTCGTCATAATGCTTTAAACACGACAAACTAATTAACCAAGTTGTTGAACATAATGTACTATTGATCATTTGCTTTCGAAATTCTGTTAACTGATTGTATAAGCACTCATTATATTCGTGTTTTGCTTCGGTGTTAGCATACATACAGGGTGTCAGGGAATTTTTAACCTTTACGAAGTAAGGAGGCAGATTGGCTCAAATTAAGAAGAAAGAACCTCTATTATTTTGTAATTGTCGCAATAATTAACGAAAAATTAAATAAAGAAGATTGGCCAATGGCTAGAAGCACACGACGGCGAAGGCGGTTTGATTGTAACAAAATGGCGGCGCGCGGCGAAACGGTGATTGGGGAAGGGAGGAACCTTCACCACGCGCTTACACACTTATCGCTCCTCCTCTTCCCAATCACTCCCACTTCGCCGCGCGCCGCCATTATGTTACAGTCAGACCGTCTTCGCCGTCGTGTGCTTCTAGCCACGCGCATTGGCCGATCTTCTTTATTTAATTTTTCGTTAATTATTGCGACAATCACAAAACAATAGAGGTCCTGCCTTCTTAATTTAAGCCAATCTATCTCCTTCCTTCGTGAAGATCAAAAATTCCCTGACATCCTGTATAACAAACATAATACAACGCATGCAATGTATTAATTTGCTCAATATGATTAATCACGCTTGATTATATCGATGTAAATAATAAATTAATTTTATTTATTGTAATATAACTACTTTTTTATTTCTTTTTTTTTTACAATATATAGGTTCAAAATTCAGTTTTAATACATAGCCCGTTTATATACGAATAAAATCGTTTTAAATAGGGTATTATGAAATGCTATAGCCATTTCATTGGCTAAGTAGAATATTAAGAATACTTAATAGCTTATATTCGATTTATAAACGATCTTGAATATAAAAACAAACTCACAGTGGTTCATGATGTAACTTTATTTTATTGAAATTCATGATCTCGTCAATTGTTTGTGAATATATTTTCAAATTCAAATGATTGAAATAATTGTGCGAAATTTGAATTGTTGAATTACTAAAAAATTACAATTATTAGAAAAATGAGAATTAAATCAAAATTTAAAATAAATAATAAATTAAATTAAATAATTTTACTTGCATTTTAATGTATTAGTTAGAACAATTAAAAAATTGCGTCTTTGATTATAATTATTATCTAGTAATCGATATTTTAAAAATTTTGTAATATATAATTTCAGGAAATTAAAAATAAATCACATCTAGAATATAATATTTTAACTATTTTAATCGCAGATTTTATATTTTATATAATGACTCTGAATATAAGCAAATATCATTTAGATGGCCAATATTATGTTATAGTTGATTTATATGTTTTTGTTATTATAAAAGAAAGTAGCTTTTTTTTAGGTAGTAATTATGTGGAATATCTATATTTTGAAAAAAGCCATATCATATCATATTCTAATTAAAGGAATATATCTACCTTACATTATATAGAATGTATTTTCAGGAGTAATATTTATTACAAACCACTTTCTTGTTTTTGTATTTTAATTGCTTTATAGTATTGTTATCTTATAAGTGAACATATGATGCTGTTAGTGTAATTAATTTTTGTATTTTTATAATTGATGTAGTTCAACAATATTGAACTATCTAAATTCATTAATATAATGAAAAAGATCGATGTTATAAATTTAAATGTATTAAGTTCGCAAGTACTTTATTGTAGAATAAGTGCGCTTTAGATTCTATTGGTATTAATATAAGTAATACCAATAGAATCAATTCTATTTTATCTTATGTATCTTGCGTTACATCAAAAAGGAATATGTCAAACTCGAAAATAAATATGATTTTCTATAAAAAAGTTGTAAAGAAGGAAATAAACCGAAGAGTTTGCTAATTTATGTAATAAATACTATGATGCATTTTAAAATGAATTTTAAAATTTTAAAATAAAAATATTTTATTTAATAGAAATTTTAAAATAAGAAAAATACATAAATATAAAAAAATGATTGTATTATGTTTGTATTATGATAATCTAAAGTACATGTTTTGATTTGTATACTTATCTATTTCTTCTTTTTTAAAAAGGAGAATTGAAATTATAAAGATAATTTATATTGTATTATATTAATTAAAGATAAAGTGTGTAATGTAAGATATATTGTATATGTATATAATTTCTTGTCTAATTCAATTCAAAATAATACTAAAAAAAGGATTTAAATCAATAAATATAAGCTTATATAGTAATATAGGTTTAGAACTTAAACATTCTGTTTTTTTTATATTCACATCGGAAGGAGAACTAGATTAAAACTTTTAAAACACTTATAACTTTCAAATTGTTCTGATATAAAATTTCCTAAAAATATAGTATTTGATTTTATTCTAAATCTATTATTATTTATTATCTAGTTTAATTTGTCATCTCCGATTATACTACCGAATGTATTCGTAATATACATTCCATGCTTTCAATTACCACATAAGTTTGATTATAAAATATAATTTATTATATTATATTATATAAAATATAATTTATTATATTTTATTTTCTTATTATATACAGGGTGGACCACGTAAGGTGTTACAAATTTATATCTTGGAAACGAAGCAATTTAGAGAAAAACGTTTCAGATAAAAGTTGTATGTTTTCAAGGGGGACATAAGATGGTGCCATTAGTTTGACCTTGAGAAGTCACCTGAAGGACACGTGAAAGTCACCTCCAATTTTTTAAACGGGTCACTCTATATGCTCTATATACTCTTGTAGCTCATCTCGAAAGCTTTTTAAAACTCTATAATTAAGTTAGTTTTCATTAAGTACTTTTCGAGTTATGAGGCTTGAAATCATTTCTTAATTTTACATAAACCGTAAAATATCTTGTAAAATATTCATTTTTCGATTATCTTACGTCAATACTTTTATGTTCAAAATAATGAGAGGAATCATTGGTGTAAAGAAAACACATAATTGTTTCGAAAAAAAAATGTAACTGCTTTGAAAAATTTAAAACTGTAACCAAACGCTATTCTATAATGACACTCAATCTCTGTAAGATGTTACATAACTGCAAATTAGCACTGTAAGTTTACAGTGCTAATTTGACATTTTTATCGCTGTAAGCACTATATTTTAAAGGTTAAAAACTTGTTTTTTTTAATTTTGACAATTTAAAAATACGATGAATGATCCAATTTCGCAATATTTCTGTATTTTCTGTTATTTTCTGTTATTTTCTCATGGAAAAAGATTACATATAACAGGTAATTTTAATTATATTTAGTATATACACAAACAAAGTAGTCTTTTTTATTAATTATATTACTAATAATACTTGTTCCAAATATTTTTTACTAGAACACACTTGAAATTTTACACGCTGACACAAAATTCTATAAATTTTAATGCACAATAAGTTTGCACAAATACGTTTTAATAATTAAATTAATTAATTATTACTAACTTTTTCTAGAAATTATATGCGCTTGGAAAGGAAACTCATACGAGACTCGCAAAATCCACTGCAAATATCTGATGTAGTGTCCTCAAACGAGGACCGGTTCTCGGCACGTATTAATTGAGTTTTTACATTTTAGGCCTTGCCGTTTTCCTTTTTTTAATATTTATTTGGATAGTGAACAAATAGTTTACTAAGACGCGTTCGTGTACACTTCTACAATAACAAAAAACTCTCCGCGCTATCTATCTAACGCTCACAAATATAATTTAAAATAAGAAGACGTTATACATAAAATACACAAGACGTATAATATCGAACCGACATAAATGAACTTTAACATTTATAATAATAAATTGAAAATAATTGCGAAACAAAAAAAATATATATGCAAATACAATCAAACTATATATTACGCAAACATACCGGCTTGATGCCTTATGGTATCAACATCGAAATTTTATATATAGCAGCGTTATTTTTATTCATACAACAGTTAAGCTTCTTTAAGATTTGTAGAAGACTCAATGAGAAATACGCTCAATTTTACTGCTGGCCTTTTAAAAATTCCTCTAGCAGTTTTTATAACAACTCTTCGGATGATATTATCGTCGCCGGGACAGACTTCCTGTACTCTGCCCAGCATCCAGCTCAATGGTGGCAATCCATTTTCTCTACATAGCACCAGTTGACCGACCTTGAGTTGCTCGCCACGGTTAGTATACCATTTGGCACGTCGTTGCAATTGCGACAGATATTTGAGCGACCAGCGTTTCCAAAAATACTAGCGTATTTGCCCCAGTCGTTGCCATTTCGACAGTCGATTTATTTTGACCTGAGTTATGTCTGGCTCTGAGTAAGAGATTAACGAGTTGTCTATAAGAAAATGACCTAGGGACAGATAATTTAAATTATTAGGATCCGATGAGAGAGCGCTCAAAGGTCTCGAATTGAGAATCGCTTCTATTTGTATGACGAGCGTGGAGACTTCCTCGAACGTTAGCGCGGCTTCTGAAGCTACCTTGTAAAAATGACCTTTGAAGGATTTGACTATAGCTTCCCACAAACCACCGAAATGTGATGCTCGGAGAGGAATAAAATGCCATTTCATTCTTTCACTTGAAGTTGTGTCAATAATCTTGCTGATCTTCTTGTGCGAATAACTTTCTGAGGTCTTCCAGATCCCGATTGATACCGACAAAGTACCGTTATCCGAGAATACGTCACTTGGCTTTCCTCTGCGACTAATGAAACGCTTAAAAGCGTTGAGAAAAGCGTCCATGCTCAGGTACGACCTCCAAATGCACAGCTTTTGTGGCCATACTAATACTGCAATGTCGGCCTTAATATGTTTGCTATTCTTGTGTCTTCCTTCGTGGACAAATATAAGACCACAAAAGTCTACGCCAGTAAAACTGAATGGTTTCGCAGTCGCAATTCTATGCGTCGAGAGATTGCCCATTATTTGCTCGGACATTCGTGGTCGAGTCTTAAAACAAGTGATGCACTGGAGTAGCAGCCTCTTGATAGTATCGCGCGCCCTAATTGATCAATACAAAAGTCGCATCACAGCAAGTGTTGTCTCAACTCCTGTGTGAAGATTCTTCTTGTGTTGATATTGAATAATTAATTCAGCTAATCTTGAGTGATGAGGTAAGAGTATAAGATGCTTAGCGTCCGGATGAAGTTCCGAATGCTCCAATCTGCCGCCAACACGCAAAATGTCATCCTCGTCGAGGAAAGGATTGATTGCTCTCACGCTACTTTTAGATGAAATTTTGATGCCCCTTTTTAGCGCTTTTAACTCTTCACGGAACGCTGTCTGTTGCTCTTTCCGAATAATACATTTTCTAGCGTATTCTAATTATTCGGGTGACAATGGACCTGAAACTTTAGCCTCATTCTTCTTTGCACAGATGCGTGCAAATCATATGCACATCGTAGTAACTCGAACGAGTTTCTTGAAATCGGAGAATTTGTTGAATGGGTCGACTTCTGCTTGAGCAGGCATTGACAGGACCGGCAATGTATCGTTTCCGTACAGTTAATTCTTCTCCATGTCCACGATTTCTGATTGATGCTAGATGATGACACCTTTTTGCAACCAGGAAGGACCTTTCCACCACAGCTGAGAATTAGCCAACTCCTTCGGATGTACTCCTCTTGATACTAAATCGGCTGGGTTTTCTTTGCTTCCTATGTGATTCCAACTGTCGATCACGCTCCTATATTTCGCCGACTCTGTAAGCAACGAAAACAAGTAGTTTTTTGTCAGTTGCTTTGATCCAATGCAGCACTATAGATGAATTCGTCTAATAACAGCATTTTTTAATGTCGACCTCTAATACATGTTTGACTTTGTCCATTAACTTTGCAAGTAGTTCAGCACCACATAGCTCCAGTCTCGGAACAGAAATCGTTCTAACAGGAGCCACGCGAGATTTGGAACAGAGTAAATGTGTTTGAATAATTCCGTGAGACTCGATGCTTCGGACATAAATGCAAGCTCCATAAGTTTGCTCGCTAGCGTCGCAAAATCCGTGAAGCTCGAATCGTACGTCCTTTCCATGAATGAATAGTTTGCGTTGTATTATATTTTAAATTCGTTGAGCTCTTGTATCTTCACGACATAATCCATCCACTCCGTGTAAATATCCGAAGGCAGCGATTCGTCCCAATCGATTTGAAGTTTCCAAAGCTTTCGAATCATGATTTTGGCGGTCAGGATCACAGGTCCCAATAGTCTAAGTAAATCAAATATCTGAGCGATACTAGATAATGTTGATCTTTTGATGCAAGCGCTTGTCTCAGATGCTTGCACACAAATCGTATATTGTAGCACTTTGACGGATTCCATTTAATTCTGAGAGTTTTGGCAGTTCCTTGTCCAATTCCAGTATTGTGTTGCTGATTGATGACTCAGGAAATCCTTTTAATAATTCTTCGTTATTTGAAGCCCACTTTCTAAGTGCGAAACCTCCACCCTTGAGCAATGCCATTATCTGAGCACGAATTACTAATGCTTCTTCCACCGAGTTCGCACCAATTATTAAATCGTCAACATGAAAGTCACGACACGCTATTTTCGCTCCTATGGGGAATTGATCGCTGAAAATGAAGCTAGTGCGGTTTCGTATATTAGTGTTATTAATTTGTAAGTTTTAATTTCTTCTGTTGCTTGATTTCGCCATAAGATATGCTCTAAAGGGATTTGAGCCTCATTTGATAATATCTGTCTGTACATTTTGGCAATGTCTGCAGTCAGAGCATACTTGAAGCTTCTAAATCGAAGTAGTATACAAAATAATTCTTGCTGCAAGACCAGCCCATCCAATAAAGCATCATTCAATGAAATTCCGCTTGTTTAATTTGACGTATCGAACACGACTCTAAGTCTTGTGGTCGTGTTCGCCTCCTTTATCACACAATGGTGTGGTAAATAATACTGCACACTTGGTTCCTGTGTTAATGCTATATTCGATTGAAGTTCTCTCATGTGATGCAAGCTCAAGTACTCGTGTATAAATTCCGTATACTCTTCAATTTAGAATCCCGATTCAACTTGCGCTCCAGAGTCACGAATCTTTTCAGTGCAATATCCTTTGAGTCACATAACTTCTGCAGTAGCTCTGGTCTTGTTGGCATGTTAAATCTACCTTATAAATCTACCTTTAGAGTTGCGTTCGTAGATCTGTACGAAATGTCCCTCGCAGATGCGCTCTTCAGGAGTTCGCGTGCTCTATTGCTCCGCACGCTCGATTTGCCAAAAGCGTGCGAGACTTGAGTTAAGCTGTTCGTTGATTGATAGATTGCAAATTGTCGCATTCCTGAGCTGATCGTGAATCATAAGGTTGCCAGAAGCCACCCATCCGAGCAGTGTTTTCTGCCAAGCCGGTTGACAGTTTGAAAGCTTCATCTTTCCGATGCACAATAAATCCAAGAATATCTCTGTACCGAGCAATATGTCTACGTCGGCTAGACGGTCAAATTCAGAGTCTGTCAATGTAATGTCATCCGGAATTTGCAAATTGCGAAGATTAAGCCGATTTACTGGAATAGCTTGTGTTATTTTCTCAATTATCAAGCAATCAAGGCGTGGAATCCGTTAATCCTCGATTGTATTGTTATTTTTGCGAGCCCACGTGTCTGCGTTGTCAACTCGCCCACGCCGAAGATTGGTATGTTTGTATTGCTTAATACCTAGTTTCTTGATGCACTTAGAGGTGATGAAGCAAGACTGCTGTGATCCGTTATCTAACAGCGCTCAGCAAGGCTGTAAAATGCCTCTCGCATCCAGGACGTTGACTACTGCTGTCGCGAGAATTACCTGTCTATCTTGTCCGACCGTGGCATGATTCACACTTGTAGATATTACGCTTTCTTTTTCCGGGGGCGCGTAGATATCTTCTTGGATATCTCTCTATCCGCTTCAGGCTGCTTAGTTATTTGTTCCAAATGGAGCAACATGTTATGTCGTTTATGGCATTTTCGACAGGATCCCGATCCGCATTGCTTCGCCTGGTGAGATGCTTTGAGACAATTTAAACATAATTTACGAGACTTCACTTCTTTTATACGCTGATCCACTTCTAGCTCCAAGTAGTTAGCGCATTTGAAAAGGATGGTCTGTCTTTGCGCAATAAGAACACATGATGTTTGTTGTTGCCACATGCGCTGTTATACCTTTATTTTTGGATGATTTACTCACTTTCTGCGTACTGAGAGTGATCCGCTGACTTCGAGATGACGCTTCTAATGCTCGGCATCGTTGTGTTAGAAAATCCGTCAATTAATTGAACGTATGTATTTAATCTCTCTTGATAGTGATTTTCCATTCCTTGTACGTGGTTGGATCCATTCTACTTTTACCAGATAAATTAAGAGATCCCACTAATATGTAGGCCTCTTCATTGCTTTGAGTGCTTGCACATGCTTGAGCACATTATCTAACAACTGCCGTAACTCAAGATAATTCTCCTTTGTTACCATAAGTTACTCGAAAAGCGCTTTGACGTGCTTCTGAATTATTAAGCTGTCGTCATTGTACCTGTCCTTAAGCATTCTTCAGGCCTCATGATAATTTTCATCCGATGCCTCCAGAGAACTAATAATATTCTTGGCTTTATGCGTCAAATCCGACAAAAGATACTGCATTTTTTGTACGTTAGGCAGCAGCAGATTTTCATGGATCATGCTTATAAACATATTTCTAAATGGAATCCATTCCTCATACTTTCCTGAAAAAGTAGGCAAAGTAACACGCGATAATTTTAAGTGTTCGTTTGGAATATTACTTGCCTGAGAAGCGGGCGCGCCCTCTCTATAACTTGGTGTATTTGCCGTTATATTAATTTAGCGGGATGCTTGAGCTGCCCATTCGGTTACGCTCTTCCTCTCAATCAGTTTTCAGTTCGACGGTGACTGTAAAATATCTGCTCTCAAACATGTCTCTCTCCAATGAGTGGATCGGCTCATTAACTTCCTCGGGCTCAAGTTCTTCGATTGCTGATTGTGCTTCATTGAAAGATCCCCACAGCTCACTCACCTTTCGTAAACGCTGACGCAACTCAATTATTGATACGTCTGAGAAGCTTAAAGCGACCAAATATGTATTGACGAAGGGCGCATATGGAATAACATAAGGCATCAGTACTTCCTCTACGTATATATCTACGTTCATGTTTTGCTCGAAGAAATATAAATCCGTATGAGCATTGGCAGATATTTCTGCCTAAACCATGACAAAGTCTCCGTCGTAACTATGTCGTTCACTCACCGTGCAATCTGCAAAGCGTTCTCCAACTCGACGTAAACCCGTTCTCGCCTTGGAGAGAATAGAGCAAAACGAGATTCATCGCTAAAAAGAACGCCAATCTGCGTACGTCCAATGTCTATAATTGACTGCAAAATTGAGTCGAACTACGCGATGGTGACGTGTAAACGAAAATACAGCTGCTGTATCTTCGTGCAATAAGGCCATTTTTTTCTGAATCGATTTCGAACAGTGTTAACGCATACGTTATTATTGCAGACGTCCCTTACAGTATTTCAAATTTGAACAGCTGTTTGATGACGATCTCTTAGTGAATTTGAAACAATAAATCGGTCATCGTTTTCATCAGTAATACGTAGACATCCCGAACCGAATCTCCGCCGGAAGGAATTGATCTCTAATATAAGCATGTTGAACGACTGATACCGATAATCAAGTGACTAAGCAATGTATCTGCGACTTCTCCCACCTTCAATTAACGCCACAATTTGAGCAGCGACTTTAGGAGTAATCGTCACCATAATCGATCAATTTGAATGGGAAAAGATTAATTGTTGTTTACTGTTCGTGTTTGGATGGAAAAGCAAAATGGCAACAAATTTTCGAACAGGAAAAGAGACTGAATTTATGTGCACTTAAGATTTCAATGTCAATGATAATTCGCGAAACAATAAAAAATTTGAATTCGCAAGCTGAAATAGAGC